AATTGTCTGAGAACAATACAGTCTTCCAAAAAGTCCAGAGGCTTTGTCATCATATCACGTGCCCACTTCCTTCGTCTGACTATGTTGGCAGGTCTTAATAAGGGCTTCCGTCTAGCTGCTCTGCAACGATAACCCATCTGCTTGACCAACTATCCTTCCTTTAACAAAATCTGACAATTCGAGAGAACCTTGAGTTCTAGGCATGTTGTAGCACAAGATAATTAGTGTGCAGGCCATTTTAATTTATATAGTGCTCTGTGAACACAAATTAGTTAGCATAAATCAGTTAAATGACGAAAAATTAGGTGTCTATTTACTTGTGACCACTCAGTGTATTTAGTAAAGTTCATGAAGAAGAAAAATGAAAAGTGTTCAAATTTTCATTTCTTCTCAACTCTAAAGCAAAATGAACTACAAACACACACTTGTTGAAGTTTTTTTAAATTTTTCATCTCAAAGAATAGTTTTATTTGTGATAAGAAATTATCATTTCTTGAGAATATATCTTCCATTTCTTGTTTTTCAAGTATTTTTCTTGTCATTTTCTGCTTAAGTTTTGTACAGACCCTGGTTTCCAGACTTTTATGGTGTTATGTCAAGTGGTTTTATCATTTACTACTAATGAAACACATCTTTGGAAACAGCTATAAATTAATTTTAGATATGATTGGATAGAGCAAAACTACAAATTTTCAGTCATAACAGAGTTAATAAAGCAATAGGTGGATTTCATCTTATGCTGTAGTTTTTATTGTTGAAAGTCATAAGCCAATTGACAAATTGTTGAAATGGAAATGGTGCATTTAAGTGTTTTACACTCACAAAAAAGAAACCCATCATTCTATAGGTATTTGAAGAAATTGTAGCATTCCGCCACAATTCAATTCTTCGTATTGTCAGCTGACACTAGGCAACTGGTACATAATTGAATAGAGTTATTTAAACATTTGTTTAACAACGAGTAAAAGCTTGGAATTGTCTATTCTTTCATTAGGAGTGTGTCAGTTTTGGAGAATTCCACTCCTCATCAGTGACCCTGGACACTACCATCAGTTTTCGGTACCTCACTACCATAAAGGCTTGGTTTGGTCTGATATTTCATTGGTGGTAGTGTCCAGGGATATCATGAGGAGTGGAATTCTCCGAAACTAGTCTGGTTCACAGACACACCCCTAATGAAGAAATAGACCATTCCAAACTTTTACTCGTTGTTAAACAAATGTTTAAACAACTCTATTCAAAACTGTTGAAATGTTTCAATAATTTTTTTTATTTTTGCTTTGCAATCACATGGTGTGTTTTATATGAATCCTTTACTTTTAGTGTACTGATATGAAAAATTTGCTTTTTGTTTCAGGAAAAGAGAAACAAAATGAATTTGCAGAATGCATGTATTGTTCTAAGCTCAAGAATGCATATGAGTCCCAGAATTTTACATGCTCTTTTTTCTCACAGTGATGTCCTTTTTAAGCATATAGAAATTAAAAAGTAAGTATGGTATTGATATTACTAAGATAATGGGGTCCTTGGAATCCTTTATGGTGGTTTGGTAAATATGCATTAAACTTGCTTACAATCATCAGTATCATCTGGATTTTTAGGCTAAATATTACTGTGCATTGTTAATGTTACATCTCTTTTCTCAATTCCATTGTTCATGAAATTGTGATTAAATTTATATATCAGGGTTCTCAGAAATTCATTTAGACTGCTGTTTTCCACTTAATAAGCACTTCTCTTGAATATATCTTTGGAATCACATGGGTGGAAAGATCTCTTTCGTAGAATGGGCTTAAAAACCTAAACTACCTGTGATTGTAGCTATATATTTCAACATTGTCAACAGTTAACTTAAACCTTTGATACTATGTATTGTCATTAGCAAAAATTGTCTTTCATCATTAAATATCATTTAAAAACAATTCAAAGCACCCATTTAACTTTGAATTTATATTTTATGCTATATGCTTATATAGCTGTAATATACCATTTAACTTTGATAGTTTATAGAAATATATTACAACTACTTAATATATGTGTTAAAGGTACTGTATAACTAGTAAATACTTCTACATAAAAAAAAATCATTAAACAATCATAGTGTTCTCAAGTGAAACTGCAGAGCAACAGATAAATGTACCTCAGAGAGTAAATAAATCAAACTTGACCTGAGAAATAATGTGATTAGACACAGTTATTAAGTAAAACAACAAAACAAAAAACAGTCTATTAATAGAACAGTTGTGTGCATTTGTTCCCTGGTAGCAAATTTACTGCATGCACATTGCTCTGTTATACTAGCTGATTGGCTTGGTAGTAAAACAGCTGTTGGAGAAGGAAAACTCCATTGAGCAAAATAAATTTTTCTGGTAATATTGTGTTAAACTAGCTCAACTTAAGTTGGTCATATACAGTTTCTAGCTATACACATTGTGGGTCAATCTCAACAATAATTCAATGGAAGACAAATCTTTCTACCTGCCTTTCAATCAGAACAGTAACCAAGCCAAAAATATACATTTTAGCTTGACCTCACGGAACTTCCCAAGAAAAAAAATACTGGATGTAGACAGACTTCTCTTTGGGCACACGTTCTAGCAGCTGGAGTAAGGCAAGTGTGGTAGTCGAGACCTCAATGTCCAGGACCTGAGACTGAGACCTTAGGGGTCGAGTCCAAGACCGAGACCTTGTAATAAATTACACAGAAAAAAAGCAAGAAGAATAAAATTCACAAGCATCAAACAAACTTTATTAGTATCTTAACTGCAAATACCTTACATGTTAACCCCACAGTCTTTGTTTTAACATCTCCTACTATGGAGGGGGGGGGGGGGGTCAGAAATGATACTAAACCCAGTACTGGTGTCAGTAAATTCTTTATGATCATTGAAGCCAAAAAGGATCACAGCAGATCTACAAAGACATATTGAATACTGTACACCTTTAAAATGCTTATAGTACCTCCCTTATTTTTGTTTATGGACTATACATTGCATTATGCATAGGTTTACTAGTAAAAATCTTTGATGCTACACCATGTCTTGTATGAACTGCCATATAATTGATATTTAGTGCTTAATAATCCTGGGTAGGTGACTGGTCTAATGCTGTTAAAACTTTTAAATTTAGCCAGTCTCATTTTTGAAACCTGTAAAACATTGAGACCAAGACCTCCCAAAAGTAAGATATCCAAATTTTTAAAACGTTACCTAATCAACATGCATTCATACACAGTTATGGAAGAGTTGAAAGCATAGTAATTTTCATTATCCAGCAAGTAAAATGGTGGGAAACATTGGTTTAGTGAAAGAGTAACCAAAAAATTAAATGTATGACAAAATCAGTAATTTTAATGAAACTGGAATGCTTTACATAAATTACCTTATTTAATTTTATATGGCCAAGCATGACCCATTGGTTAATATACCAGAATGTGAACCTGAGATTATATCACAGTCAAATCCCTATATTCAAGAGTAGCAATGGTTGGCAGTGAGTGGTGTTGATTAGCTGCCTTCTTTCTAGTCTAGTCCTTCAGTGAGTCAGTGAAAAGTTTACAGACTTAGTGATAAAATTCAATTTCCTGTGATGGACAGAGCACAGATAGCTTGTTATGTAACTTTGTGATAAAACAAACAAATAAACCCTCCGGTCCAGTGGTTGTCAAACTTTAGTAACCCAAGGACCCCTTTTAATTCCAAATTTTTTGCAAACCCCCAAGCCTATCACTGTTTTTGTTTTGAAAAAAGGATTCCGTGTTCATGAAAAGCTGTATTCCAAAATTAAATGTTTTAATTCAGATAAATTTAATTTTACAAAACTATTTTTTATTCTAAAAATCATATTTCTTTAAAAATATTTTTATGAAATTTTGGACATGACTCAAGGAACCCCCTGGAATACACCAGTTTGAGAAATGCTGCTCTAATCTGTCTCTTCAAATTAGAGACTGCTAGTGCTGGTAGCCCACATGTAGTTTTGCTTGAAATTCAACAAATATCAAATCAATCCTCTAACATCTGTGCATTATATTGTTTGTATATTTTTACTAGATGTAAAGAAATAGCTTAATTTCAGTCATTATCAAATATATCTGTAGTGCATTTCTGTACAACTAAGTTCTTATAATTAAGGATGAATTCAGATCTTTCTACAAAATTTGAGTTTGTATTCATATTTCTACCCATAAATGTGCTATGCTAGTTGAAATAGCTGAGACAGTGGTATCTAATTTTGTAGGGGTTCTTTTGCTACTAACAACTATTGTATTGTAGCTTTGGAACTTTATATGAACATAAATATACTTGAATTTTTATTGCTTTGTCATTAGATTAAAATCGTATATCATTTTTTCAGAACATCGGTGAATTTCTTTATAAATGCATATCAAGAAATGAAGAAGAAACTAACAGGAGATTAATATCTGTGCCATGTGTATTTTGCTCAAAGAGAAAAAAAAAAGATTACACAATAAACATATTCTAAATTGCTGCATAATATAACATTTATTTTCTTTTATAAACGTTAATGTCGTTGAGATAATATCGTCAGTAGCATCAAATCTCAAGAAATTTTGAAATTGACTTACAACCTTGAGTTAAATGAAGTTGAATAAATAAATAATGAAGTATCTTACAAAGAAATTATCTTCACAAAATTAATATAAGATTGGCAGAATATATTGTGTCTAAAATGTTTTAGCTTGTAGTCTTATTCACATGCTTGTTTATACTGTTGTACTAGGTTTTTTTAATAAAAAACAATAATTTAGGACTTTTAATAATTTAGTTTTGTGAATGAATGCAGGTTTGTGCTTCTGTGGTGCAAGATTATTTTAATTTACTTACCTGTACCTCCTTCAGCCAAGATCATATCAATTAACAAAATAGTGTTAGTTGAATTTATATTTACATACAGGAGCTGGTTTGGTGCATAAAGACCTTTTTGAACTAGTATGGTTTTAAATAGCACAGCTTAGAGAAGGTTGTTTAAACTTAAAAGTTAATGATTAATTAACCATGTTCACTTTAATACAGTACAAGCAGTTGATGTGAAAAATATTGCTATTTCTGTTAATTTTTTATAACTAAATATATGTAATATTAGGATATAAAATAAGGAATTTTGGAAGCATTCAGTGTAAACAGCTAGGCTAATATTAGAATATACACAAGACATTTCAGGAACATTCAGTGTAAACAGCTAGGTAAATATTAGAATATAAAATACAGAATTCTGGAAACATTTAGTGTAAATAGCTTAGATACTATTAGAATAAAAGGAATTTTAGAAGCACTCAATGTAACTAAGTAGTTTAATATTACAATACAAAGTTAGGAAGTTTAGCAGCATTCAGTATAATGGTTAGGTTAATTTTAGAATATGAAATAAGAAATTTTGGCAACATTCACTATAAATAGCTAGGTATACTACCATCAATTCAAATGTAGAAAACTATGAACACAATATCATATTTTATTGTAGAATAACCATACTGTATAATGTCACAAGTAATAATAAGTAAGTATTATGTAATATTAAACCTACATAATTTTAATTCTCTCTTACATTGTTACCTGTATGACATTTGTAAATTGAAATTTGTCTTCTTATCCAGCTGCATTTCATACAGGTTACCCAAACTGAAAGATGAAGATTTAAAGTTGTTTTTAATTCCTTTCGTATAAACTAAAAACTCACATGCTCTATTTGTTCTGTGCAGTGCTGTTTTCTGTTTGTTAAACAGTTGTGTCAGTTTTTTCATTTTTTGGTTAACTTACAATTCTTCTAAGCAAATGTTTTCAAATTTATGTTTATTGTGGTCTTAGTAACCTAACTTTTGGTTTTAAGTACACCTCAGGATATTCCTTACCAATGACCAATAAAAATTCACATTTTTTTGGATCAGATTTTAATTTTAAAGAGCGAGAAATTAGGATTACTATTGCATCAGAAGTTATTTATTTTTAAGTTTTATTTAGTAAAGTTTGAATCCAGTTCTTATTATATATTATTGTTTGTAGGAGAATAACATAAGAAACTGACATCCAGTACTATCAAAATAAGTTTATTTAGGTAAGTATAACTGCACTGAATTTTCTGTGACTGCAGTTATGTCCACCTGTTTTATGTTAATTCTAGGTATATTCCTCCAATAAGGCCAGAAACATCTCGGTTATCTTTAGAGCTCCCTGATACTCCAGGAGCAATAGAAGATGAGTTAGCCAAACAAGAAGATCTTCTTGCACAACTACACTCTGAACTTAATGCAGGGTTGAGAAACACAAAGAAAGAAGAACAGCTGTGGGAAGTTCAGCGAGTTGTCACCCAGTTGAAGCGTAAAGTAAGAAAACATTGAATTTTATTTCTTTTGTTAAGTAATGAAGACTATTAAAACTGAAATATGCTTTATTCTTATCAAATTGAAACATATATGTGATAAAGTAGGAATTGTCTTCTTTTACATAGAAATAGAAATAGAGAGAAATGGAGTACTATTAGAACAGTCTTAATGGAAACCTGTTGAATAAATAATCTGAAATCAAAAGCCTAAAGTATCTTCTTTCTTGCTACTATTGTTTTATATTAGGGTTAACTTATTCAAGTTAAAATATTCTTTTAAAGCAAAATTTATATAGTTTATTTGGTGTAAGTGTAAGATTTCTAGTGTTAATACTGATTAAAAAAAAACTGAAATATCAAAGAAAATGTAATTACTGTCATTTTATTTGGTTACTGTGTAATGAAACTATGAAACTCAGCTCCAAAGATTTTTAACCTAAAAAAAGTACAGTTTAGAATTTCTTACATTTTCATTTAAGTTGGGTTATTTGAAAGGTTTATGAGAACTACTTTTGAACTTTACTATGTTTTCACTTGAGCTGACAAAGATTTTATAATTGATTTGATAAAATATGTTCACATCAAAGATGAGTTATTTGTAAATAACAAGAATGCTGTAGTAAAGACATTTTATCTTTGCAATAAAAAGTGTTTTAATATCTACTTCTAGGTACTATTAGTTTAATAACTCAGAATTGTGAAAATAAATAAAAAAATAACTTGATTCACCAGATTCTGTTTTGTAAAGATGTATTAATAACTTATTCACCAACTGTCTGCAAAGATGTACTTCTTAAAAAACATTTGGCTGTAGTTCAAACTTAATATAACTGTCAAATTGCATCAAATGTCATAAGATAGCACTATTAGGGATTATTTAACAAAACCTTTGAAATATGTGTATCTACAGCTTGAACTAAAACTAATTTTTAAACTACAGTTAAGATTAAACAGGATTGTAGTGCAAAAGATACAATTACATCATTGAAGAGTTCTTCTCTTATTTACCAGTATCTTGTGTCAACAGTGATGTAGCTGTTAAATGAAGTAAAATTATAGTGGAAGCAGAACTACACGAAAATCATTGGCACTGCTAAAGAAGAATTTATGTTAATCAAATAGTTCAAACCAATCCTCATTTCTTCAATTAGTTCATTTCAGTAAGTAAAATAATGTATATACATATTGAGATAATTATCAATAGTATCTTCACTCAAATGTGTCTAACAAAAGTTTGTTTGCAACACAGTTAAGGTTTCTAAAACAAGATGACTCAACAACACATCATCATGAAGCTGACATTAATTTGGGGCTACAAAAACTAGAGGAAGTATCATTTGAAAAACTAATAAAAAAAAAGGAAACTACTGTTGAAGGACAAGAAATTTTCTCAGAAGGACGATCAAAGGAAGACAGTGAAATTAAAAGTCAGGAAGTGAAAATGTCAGATGCAGAATATGTTAATAAAAAAGATATTGTTGATGTGGGTGAAATTCTTAAAGTTTCAATCAGACAAGATGAGAATAAAGTAATCCAAGTTAATGCTCAAGAAGCAGTCAAATCTCAGACTATTGGAGATGATCTTCAGGAAAAAGAATCGAATATTAATGTCTCTGGAGGACAGTGGGATTATAAAAAAGATGGAAAGGTAGTGTGTAAAATAAATTTATTTAAATCAAATTTCATTGTTTGTTGTATTTGATATGGCCTCACTTGAACTTTTGTCAATCTGTTTTTTGTTTGTTTTTAATTTTAAAAAAAGCAAAAACAAAAATTAATTTCTGAAACATCAGTACCTGTAGGTTGAATAAATTATTCAATTTTCAAAGAAAGAGTATCTTAAATAAGTACTTGCCTCTTATACCACATTGTATTATATTCTAAGATCACACTTTTATGGTTTATTATGAGAGGTTTCGTGACCACAACTGTCACGTGTACATAAGTTGCTTCCTTGATATATCTGTTCTACTGTCACATAAATCAAGCAGCCAGAGAATGAAATGGTTATTTGTGCTAGTCCATACAAAAACATATTGGTTAAGTTGTCAAATGCAGCAGCACTTGTAGATTTTTGTGTGGTTAGATTGTTAAAAATGGGTACTAAGAAAAATCTCATCCTCAGGTGGCAGGTGGCTTATGGAAAGCCTACAAGAAGGAGAAATGTGTGCAATTGACATGATAGCCTTACAGGAGAAACTATGCTACATAGCAACTACTCAATATTCTACATTCAGACAATTAAGCCTTGGATTCCATTAAATACTGCTTAAGCCTAAAACTTAGAAGCTAAATTATTATGAATGTTATGAAAGATTATATTCATGAAACAGAGCATGATTATATATGGTGAAATGGACTGTAAGAATGAAATGAGGCTCCAAAATTGTTTTAGTATGATGCATTCAACCTATGTACAGGGGACAGTGTGGCCCAGTGGCTATTGCTTTTGACTTATAGTCAGAATGTTGCAGGTTTGGGATGCTTGCGATATCTGGTTGTGTCCTCGAGAAAGACATTTAATCTCAGTTGTTCTAGTCTACCCACATATATATTAGATACCAGCAGGTACCTGGGACTTAATCTGTAATGAACTGGTATTCTTTCTCAGTGGAAAGGTATCACTAATCTCATTTGTTTGTGGCATTTAAACTGGATTTTAGCACCAGTTGCAATGTACTATCTAGTTATTGGTTTGATTAGATTTTATCTCTGTACAGTAGATAACATGGTGTAATATGCTTTTATTGTATAATTTTATAGTAATTTAATAATAAACTACACATAACAACTACACAATCTTCTATGTTCAGACAATTAAGCCTTGGATTCCATTGAATACTACTTAAGCCTAAAACTTAGAAGCTAAATTATTGTGAATGTTATGGAAGATTATAATTAAAAATTTTAGATTGCTAGTATTAACCTGAGAATAATTGGTTTTATATTTTTTTGAATTATAAAATTCAAACTTTTAATATGCTATGATCTAAATTCAGAGATTTAGGCTTATATTTAATGCTGACTAGGTTTAAAACTCAGATGTAAAATTTTTGTGAATGATGGGCTTAGCATTTAACGATCATTATGTTATGTGTATTTTCTGAAAATGTAAGTACCAAAGAAAAGGAATATTAGAATACGAAAGTATTTTATTTATTTTATATATTTATCTGTATTATTTATCATTACTAGACTTGGTACACATAATACACAATAATGCATGTACTTTGATGTGGATAAGTATTTTATTATGTATTTATGTGTTTAAGGTGGCAACATTAGGCCTGGCATTGCTGATGCATACTTTTTTGTTGCCCAACACCTGACATTTTGACACTATTTTGGTGCATTTACTATTCCTTCTCTGTTTCATTGACTTTCTTATTTCCATATTAATGTCCTATGAAGGACCACTCAAGGTGATTACAGAAAGTGTTTTGTGTACATCCATTGATAAAATTAGGCTGTATAATTTTCAGTTCAACAACAACCCTGAACTACAATAACCATAGTAAAACTGATTTATGATTTTTTTTTCTTCATAAAAAGTTGTAATTTCTGTAAAGTAAACAAATAATCTGGGAATAACGTAGAGGCCTAGTATTTTATTCAACTGGTTACAAAAAATTATATTCTAATATTGTTGGGATATAGGAATAATAAAAGATCAAAAACTAGAGAACATTTGGAATGGGAGGAAAATCTGCACTACCAATTCCTGCATTCCACCACTCATAAACTGTACTCACAGGGTGGATGCATATTGTCAGGTTTTTATATGGGCTGGGATACTTTACAGTAGGTATCTGTGACCTGTTGGTGATAAAAGTCAACAATAAACAGACAGTGCACAATCATCTTGTTTTAAAATAGTATATATTCAAAATAAGTCAAAAGTATGTACAAACATGTTTGTTACACTATTGTTGTTACCACAGTTGAACCTAGAGCTTGAAATAATTCACCTTTTCATCAAAAGTCCACATAGATTGGATCAGTTACTTTAGAACCCAAATGACAAGACAGATTATTCCTTCTCTTTTATCACAATACAATCATTGATAAATTCACTTTAGGAATCACCAATTATGGCTAAACTTACATGCTGGCTAACTTCACTTTTTCTTTCACACAACGTATGACTCATTCAGAATTATGTAACAAAACTTGTCATAACTATCACTTTTAAAATAATTAACACTCTTTTAACACTCTTGTTATGTAAACTAAATAATAACTCTTAAATTAAACAGTCTTGTATATCTTGTATATATATTAGGTGGGGGAATGCAGAAATGGGTAATACAGATTTTTCTCCCATCCCAAATGCTCTCTAGATTCTTATCTTTTTGCATCCCTACATCCCAACAATTTTAGAATAAATTTTTTTTGTTAGTTTCTGCACTTTTTACAAGTCTAAGTCTTGACTTCCAGTGGAGTTGTAACTTGTAGGTGGAAGGCACCATTTCACCAACTTACTCAGTACTATTCTATAGGGAGCCATAATATAATCTAAAGACATTACTTCTTGAAGCAAGATAAATCATCACCAGAATACTGAGTGGCATGGTAAGGAGTATACGGTAGATTGTCTACTTCCATATAAGGCACATAATGGCTTACTGGTCAGAAACTGTGATTAGTACTTTGGGCTGTAACTAACCTATCGTGGATCAATTGCTGCCCTAAGTATGAAAAGGCACATCCTAGGAAGTAGTGAAGTGTATTGGTGTCCATGCTGGTCATAGACACACTGTGGTTTACGAGTTACATATGACGGGAAAAGAAGCAAGATGAAGAGAATCGAAGTTTTTCTGGCCTGTTTTCTAAATGTCAAAGAAGGTTAGCCAATCTTTTGAGCCAGTTTTATACTTGTTTAGTGAAGGGCTTTTTTGTCTGTATCCCTTTGGTTGGGTTTTGTCGATGTCCTGTACATGATGTACAGGCTGCCATTTTTAACACAACCCATCCTTACATAGGGATTACAACTATGTTTCCTGATTCACTAGACAATAGCTTCACTAACCAATGGCACTTCAATACTGTTCAGGAGAGAAAAAAGATACAGTAGGCCTCCATATAGTGCGATAATTCAAAAAGTTTGTAGAATTTTATGTAAAGGACTTTATTGTTTTAATTAATGTATTATATAGATAATAATAATTCATGTAATATGTAATCTATAGCATAGCATGGGAATTACTATAAGGCAGGAATTTTAGCTTAGTAAATTTACTTTGCCATTTAAAAGTGGAAAAGACAAATATAACTTAAATCAAATTGAATTGGTCATTCTTAAATGAAGAATTTTGAAGAGATTATTGAAAGGAGTAGAGCCTATGCCTTTTAAAAAGCCAATGGTAGAATCCTGTCTTCAGTGTTTGACAGTTGTTACAGCTTTCATATGAAAAATTGCTTAATGTTTTTAAGGCTGTTTCTTTTTAGTGAGCAGCACTATTTCATCCATTCACTTTGGAAATTATTTGGAACTGAGCCTGATACGCCTTGCATGGTACCTTTCCATCATAGTCAGTTGATTTCTCGATTGTGTGATGTTCTTGAACTGGCCTGCAAAATTTTCTTACTTGATAAATGGAGTACTCCAGGAGGGTCCTGTAATCATACATGGCACAGCTGTAGTGGTAACAAGTGTAGACAAAATGGGTTTTCCTATTTCATAGTTAACCCTTTTGTCCTGGGTATCCTCTTCGTGTATGACACAAGGTTTTAGTGTCTTACATTCAAAATTTTATTACACTACTTTTTGTTTATGTTATACCAATTAAAATAGCATGAAATCTTAGCTGATAATCCATATTTTAATAGTATACAAGTTTTAAGTTCTTAATTCTAAAAGGGAATATTTAAAAGTCATAAATTTCCACTAGTGTGACCCACGTGACACATTTTGTCTTAGCATGTTATCATCCCTATTTTATCCATCACTCCTCGAAAATGTATGAAATTAAACATAAATTACTCTCTATAGAATCGTTATTGCTCAGAGAAACCATAATTTTTATAGTCTTAAATTTTTTGTTACAGAGTTATCGAATAGAAAATCAGACCCCTTCTGCCACACCCTCTCTTTCACAATTTGTTGATAGTTCTTTCTTACATTTCATTATATATTACCTATAACCAATAGAAAGTCAAAGTTTTCATCTATCAAATGACATATTGTATAATGTTGTGTTCTGAACCGACAATTTCCAATTTCACTCAGAATAGCAGCATAATTCCTGTGGGGAGGTTAACGACTAGCTTGGATGAATTTGTAACGGCTCTTGTCGCTAAATGAGTATGGACTACTGTTTCTTGATATCCTTTATTCATGAACTATAACATCTAGAATGATGGAGATCTGAAACATATACATATGAAAA